TATTAAAATATGTGTAAATTAAATAATTTTATTGCTGTACCATGGTATAGTAATACATATATATTTATTAGAAAAAATGAAGTCTTTCATATTTAGCAGTAAAATTCTACTAAGGATATACATCTGAAAACCACACTCAATTCGCTATCAATTTTTTCTTGTTCTGTTTCTAGTTTTTGCTATTTTCTTACCCTTTTTATTTAAAAATACTTCAGCACATTGTCAGTGGCACTGCACTTGTTGCAATTATGTCTAAACTGGTCTGAAACATATACATCTAAAAAAATAATTTTCTTTGGTGGTTGTACTCATTGGTACAGCTGTGGATGTCAGGCCAGAATCCCTGCAGCATCTTTCTTTTATGCAGACTGACCAATGGCCACAGGCCTGACTTCATTTTTATGACTCAAGACTTCAGGTTAGCTTATGCAGGTGGCTTCAAGAAACCATCCTGAATGTTTATCAAACACTGGTACAAGCATTCTAAAGAAAAACCAAAGAAAACTAGAAGTAGGAAATTGCATTGCTAAATAATCACCAATTTACCTCAATGACTGTCCATTGTTCAACAACTATTGCATCATTTCCTTTCCTGTTAGAACCTGGAACCCCAGCACCTTCTTCTTCGTAGATAAATAATCCTTCTAAAGATTTGGGCAAATAGTCCCCTGTGAACATAAAGACAAATATAAACTGAAATACAAAGTTTTAGGCTGATATCTTACTGTTTGTTTTTTCCTCACTGAACAGTCTTCTAAAGTGAAATGAACTAAGACCACAAATAACTGAAATTTGTGGTTATTTCTGCATCTAGTTACAACTTGATGAAGTATGCAAGTCAACTTACTATTAAAAACCCTTTTTCTACGCAAATGGAACTATGAACCATTTCATTTTCTCAAAAGCATTAGACATTTCCACACTCAAAACTGAATTCCAATACCCTGTATTCAACATATCCCCTGCAGCAGATGGGCACAAACCCTCTTTATTCAACTTCAATATTGTACACTTGACAATAAGTGTGGCTTTTGGTGTGGTGGGAGAGAGCATAAAGATAAATGAACCATGAAGCCCAAAGCCTAGCTACTGTTACTTAAATAAATATGTAAACAGCCACAGGAAGAGCCTGAAACAGAAGTAATTGTAGGAAGATTCCTGATGGGAAGGAAGTTTCAGAGCCCAACTCCCTGACTCACTTGTCGAAGCCTGACAGTATCCGGTTGGTGCAAACTAAAGCTGTGCATCAAATATTGGTTCATTTTCTGGTTTTGCTCCTCCTAAGAGCCATCAGTGCAGATGTCCCTTGACAGCTGACCATCTTAAACTAAATTTGAACAGTAAAATTACTTAATCCTCAGAATATCAGATTTAAATCCTCTCCAATATTGCACAAAGAGATGTAAAGAGATAATTGTTTTTGCCACAGCTTCAGGGAAGGCAAATAAAGAAAAAAAAAAACACTTAGCAAACAAAGAAAACTTATAGAACACAACTACTCTGGTTTTAAAAATTGACCAGACTGGCATGGAGGTTGTGCTATATGAACCAGGAATTCACGTTTTTTGAGCGCGCCTGTTAATGTACCATAAAATACCAACTATTTATTCATACTACTTTTTACTATATTGCATGGAGCCGATTTATGTAGTTTGAGTTATGATTATTTAGATACTTGCATGCATATATATCTCTTCCATGCAGAGATATTGGATATATTTTACTTTTGGATTACACAAATATAGTGTGATTGTACACGCAACTGAACTTATGGCTTCAGGCACAAACATATGAATATCTGCGCAACTCCTAATAATTCATAAATACTCAATCTTATAAATTCATGGACTTCTACCTTTCTTCAGTGTTCAGGCAGATACTTAAAATGGACAGTCCACCTACAACATGTTGGAGTATTTCATTTTCTATCATTGTTCAAACATGATAGAATAACTCTAAATTTTAAACAGTTATTGACACAAGACACCTCCATTCAGTATAATCTGAGACAACCTGTTAATTCATAACATGTCATGCCAAAATCACCTCTATTGAAAAAGCTGCATGCTAACTGGTTCACCTGCCCATTCTGTCAATTACAACAGTTTATCTTTGTTAATATCAGTACTCAAGGGGGTTTTGGGAAGTGCTGCAGGACAGACAACACAAACCAGAAAAAGCAAAAGTATTGCCACAGCACTTCTACTAATCTTAAGTACTGCTATGGTCATGAGAGGCTCCAAGCTACAAATGGAGGAAACACTACAATGATCTAAATGGCTGCTAAAAGAACTTACCTGGATTATTTTTATGACTGCATCCTCTTTTGGCAGCAGAACACAGAAGTTGGCAATTTTTAAGAATTGACAATGATTTTTTTTTTTTTTTTTGTTCTTTTTAGTTAAAACTTCTTCCTGCCTTAAACTGCATATTGCATTTTAATCCTGGTAGCAACAGAATTCTGCTGACTCTGCAGAATATCTGTTGAGTCCAGATGAGAGGAGAATTTCTGCAGCTGCCTGACTTGTATTCGCTGTTTTCATTTTTATTAAAACAACAGCTAAAATGTTCTCATTTCACTAAATCTATATAAAGGGACAGCTACTGCTAAAGACACTCACAGTCTAAAAGCAAACAAGCAAAGGTGAGGTGAAGATGACAATTAGATGTACATGCAGACATACAAGAACTAATTCTAGTAATGAGTGCAAGTACTTCAATACTTCTTCTCCCCAAAAAAGCATTTTAGGTTTCCCTCTGTTGGATGCCAAATTTTTATCTGGTTATGAAAAACTCTTCAATGTTCACCAGAAGAACATTTTAGCTTAAGAACTCAGTAGCTAAATTAATTTCTTATTGTGGTTACAGACACTTGATCAGCCACAGAATACCATCCACATAGTGAGCTGTGTCTTTGAACACATCCAGTTTTATTCAGCAGCGTCCCACCTATGAGTCTCACTGAAACACATACCAGTCAAGCAGGGCTGAATCAGAAGCACGAACTGCTGCAAAGAGGCAGCATGAAATCCCTAAGTCAGTCATAACCTGGGTATTAAAGATGGGATAGTTATTCACACAGAGAAGAGCAGACAGCTACAGGGGAATGGGAAGACTGTAAAACTGTTGTTGGACAACAGCTGCAAAGATTAATTTCAACAGCTGCCAAAAACACCCCTCGCTGAATTGTAACATATCTCCAGAGGGTTATTTTCCAGCTCTAAAAAATCTCTTTTGAAAACCAGGAGTCCGATTTCTCACCTCTCCTCCCCCAAAGGAAACTTTGTTCTTCCACTGACTTCAATAGATAGGAATTATAATTTAAGAGCAAAAAAGATGACCAATACAAACTGCGCCAGTAGACTGTTTATGTGCACAAAATATGCAGCTTGAGAGGGACTAGCTGCCAAATTCAATCTGAGGTAAATATAGTAATGTTGATGTGCTTGTGGTTCCCCTGACAATCACTAAGTTTACTTCATTGCAGAGCTACAGAAATGCAGTGATTCACACTAAAACTAAACTGAGAACAAAAAAAAAAAAAAAAAGAGTTCTTGTTATTTTCAGGGTTTGATTTTTGAAGAACCCACAGCATCCAACTTCCCAAGATTTTATGTTTTCAACTTTTTTTTTAATTTAAGCCCTTCACTAATTCAAGCCTTGCAATGAATGCATATTATTTTAAATCAGAATATGAGGAAAAAAGCATTACATAAGACATACAGTAAATACAAAAAAATACTCAAAACCCCAGTATTCTACCCTCCTTGTATAATTCATCTAGTAGATGTAAAATGACTTATGAAAGCCACTTTAATACACTATTAAGTAAACTACTGCACATCAGCCTGAGTATTGCAAAAAATCTTTAAGGTCTCTGAAACCTTTTCAACAAACTTTTTTACAAGTCTTTTCTCCACTGCAGCCCCATGTTTTGCTTGCTTACGCTGAACTGCCGTAAGTAATTCTCAAGGAATACCAACAACTCGGAACTTAGTACAAGCAAGACATGAACAGAACTAACCAAAGAAAAAGTAGCACTTTAGTGAAATATAAACTCAAAGTTTGCCATCAAACAACATTTATTACAATAATTAATGAATTCTGAAATGATTAGCTACGTCAGACTCTTTTGGTCTGTTCCCCTACAGCACTACCATTTTCTTCACATTATTTTCAAGTAGTTGCACAACTGTAGCTACATACTATTTTTTGCAACACTTCTAATTCCTGGCTTTCAGACAAATTCAGTTCAAGTGGAAATGAATCTCTTAATTACACATTTTATCAACAGCAGAGTTTGAGAGCTCAAAATACTTCGTCAATAAAGAGCTGCTCCTGTTGTCAGCAGTGGCACAGCACTGTCTCACAGCTCTGCCAAAGCGCAGGATTTTGGGCTCAGCAGGGTGTGCAGCGATGGGCCTGGGCCAGAAGCAGCGCTGCTGGCATTGGGCTTGTGTCTGTTCATCAGGAGCATGAAGGCTAGGAACTCTGAAAGAGCTGCTAGGATCTCTTCAGAACTGAGATTGAACTGAAACTGGCAGAATGAAGATGAAAATTTGAAAATCCTGTGGCCTGAAGCAGTATCATTGTAATAATCTGAGTGTTAAATGAGTTGGTAGGTTGCTGCAGAAGAGCGCAGAAGCAGGAGGGCCAGGGAAGACCTCTGTCCCAGCTATGTGAAAAGGTCCTGGAGGATATGCCTACAACTGAGGGGAAGGACAAAACCAGATTTGATTATTCCCTGTGTATGTCCACATCTGACCAGAACAGCCTGCAGAAACATCGTGAAACTTCAGGATCAACAGTTGAATTTTAATACAATTTGGTGCTTCGGAAAGAATTTTTAAACCCAGCAAAGAACTGGAGAAAGCAGGAAGCACGGAAAGTCTGACTTAGGTTTAACGGTACAGTACGCACAATGAGAACTCAAGGTACTCTTTTGTCCTATTAAAAAATATTCAGAGTGCAGCACAGTATTGACAGTGAGCAGCAGAATATGAACATCAGGGAAACGTATCTAATCCCCCCCCCCTTTATGTTTTCCCTTAAAAAAACAAAAGAAAGAAAAGAAACTAGTGCAAAAGGCTTATTTCATTATAACCCTACACTACTTTCCTGCTTTGGAAATCCTCAATTTGATAAAAATAAGCAGAAATTGCAATTATTCAGAGCTATACCTGCCCAGAAAACAAGTTGTTCCCTTTTCAGGTACCAGATACTTATTACAGTGACTATCTGAACATGTTTACATGCTGCCCTTCACACCAAGAAGCAAAACATGATCTACTTTTTGCAAATGACGTAGTTCTACGTAAACAAGTAAAAGCTTCATGATATTCTCGGACAGTACTCACCTTTAGAAGTTTCCCAGTGTACAAAAGAATCAATTAAGGACAATCCTTGTTTGTAGTAAAACGTGGTTAATTCTAGCCAGTCTGCTTCCAGTGTACTAATAACTGGCCCCTTTCTTGTTACTTTCATAGACAAAATGCCTTCATGATAGGTCCAGCAGGTAGAATCATCATCAAAAACATTGAAGACTGTATATAGCTTGTCTAACAAAAGAAAAAAGAAGAAAAATGAACCCCTGGAAGACAGTGCCCCAAAATAAAAATATTATTAATCTCTTATTTCAACATGGTTTTCTAATTCTAAGCAACAGTTTTAAGAATTGTTTCCTGCTGTGACTATACTCAGCTTGAGCCCTAGACACACTTAGGACAAGGTGTGAGGGGGGTACATTCTGGAATATGAGAAAAATTTGAACATACTACAGTTGAGTTGTCACTGAACCTTTTAGGAACGTGGGTTTTGCATAGAGAAAATATAATACAGCTAAGAAAAACCTGGTGGAAACAGGCTTCTTTTCTGCTACTCATGGAGCTTCTGACTATAAGTATTTGAAATTACTATAACTGAAGATTAAAGACAGTTTTCTAAATTTTTAAATATTATGAATGCCTTGTACAGTATTGATTTTTACCCATTATTTTCTGAAGATTACTGAAGTTCCAGTATAATTAGTTGCCTACTGGGGTTTCCCACACAACTGATGAGTGTGTGAGTTAAGCACACAAAACCTGCATATCCTCAAATGCTTTTTATATCTGGGCACTGATACAGTGCTGTTACAAAAAAAAAAAAAGTCATAAAAAAGCATTCATCAAAAATTAAAATTCAGAAATCCATACCATTTTAGGAAATCACTGGTGACAAGTTATGAAGTCCTAGACATACAAACGTATTCTACAAATACACTCACATGTATGTCACTGCTGTGGAGAAATAACACAAAGCAGTTGCTAAAAAAAATCCTTGCAGATTGTCTAATAGTTCAACATTTGAGCAGCCTAAATCAACACAAGTAAACCTCTAGAAAGCAGAAGTATTCACATGGCCAAAACAAAGTAACTTGGTTTAGATAACCCCACCTAGGATGCTAGTCTCCCTAGGCTCCAGAAATAGAGGGAGAGTTCCAAAGTAGGATTTGGACTGTAAGCAGTCTGAATCAATCTCTGGGAAAACCCCTCTGTTTTGAGAAGTGTTACCACACCCAGTGCAAGTGACACCAGGTGCCTGGAATAAGGTAAATTCAGGACAAATTTTTGAACTCTGTCAGTAAGAGATGACTCTCCTTCCTATACAGTTTTATTTTATCACCTCCACAGGTGGTTGTATTAGCATAAATGTGTTTATCCTGACATGTGTTACATGTGTTTAATCCTGATTTCCTTTCCCATATACTAAAGTGAGATCACTTTTGTATTTGCTCTTCAGTTTTCCGATACTATTCAATTGCTCAGGTGTATCAAATTTGTCTCTGCAAATGGTGTGTTTATAAATAGTCAAAAGTCACATTATGACCCCAAAATCTAGAACTCAAACACCATTTTGCATCTTTTGAGCAAACCTAAACAGAAATGGCATACTGAAGTGGCAGTACATACCTACGTGCATGCAAGACTTTCTTTGAAATTTCGCATCAGCATTTTTTAAAATGACGGTTACATAAAACATTTGCAAAGAGAGGTGGTGAAGTTTTCATGAGTTTTGTCTTAGGAATTCCAATAACTTTACTGAGTATTTGACTAGTCATAGAGAAGCCTGGCATATTTGTGCCCAAAGCTTTTGGAAGAATTTCCTGAGAATCCTGCATGCAGGGGAGGCACTGGTTGCTAATCTACCTGGTCATACCAGTCTGCACAAACAAAGCTCCTTAACAGAACATAAGAGTTTTCCACTTTTTGCTGACAGGATTTCTATTCTGCTATACATAGCAAACCCACTATTTCAAGCTGTAAGGAAAGAGTTAAGCTTTAACAGATCATGCTATAAAGGCTCAGCATGTTGTTGTACTAGATCTGCTTTAATTCAAGTGTTAAAAATAGGAGGGACATTGATTATCTCAGTGCTTAGAGTCATTATCCTGACAGTCTACAAACTGGAGAGGGTGCTTAACTCTTAACAGGGAAGTGAAAAGGTCCTTTTGAGAGGAATTAAAACATGTCTGGCCCATCAGGGAAGAACCTATTATGTCAAAATGCAACCTGACATGAAGGTTCATACTGCCTGCTTTCTACACAATACTATCTTGCATTAGTTCTCATGCTTTAGACTACTTTTCATCTTTTCTTCCTAGCAAATGGGGAGGCCTTAGTGCTTCAGTATCAGAAGTCACCATTTCAGGCACTCTGTCACACAGACTACACTAAGTATCTCAGATTCTTCCACGACTAAGTTCTCTACCAGAGCACCAACATTTTTCAATGATGCTTTTCCTTCCTCTACAACTTTTTAATGCTTACTTTTCTCTAGTGAAAATTCATTTTGTAACAATTATCCTCTTTGATTTCACGGTCAATGCAATAATTTCAGTGATCTCTTTCAGGATGCTTCTTGAAGGCATGTTAACCAGAAACAATCCATTATGAACGGATTTGTTTGCTGTACATTGTGTGAGTTGGCTAGAAGCATGTAAAATTACAGCTCTAGCTGGATGGGGATCTCTTTGTTGTCAGTTTTGAAACAGGAAGGAGAACTGGAATCATAACATACTCTTGGAAATCCCTTACATGTTTATGGTTTAATATTAAGTGAAAACTATATGCATTTACAAAAATGTTTTAAAACAATTGCATCCTAAAATAAAAAGATTTTTACTGCCACATATTTGTTATAAACATATCAAGCAAAAAAGCTATCTGTTTGCACCACATTTAAAATCAGAATTCCACTATGGGTGATTTTTTTTGGGTCTGTTTGGGGTTTTTTCCTTTTTCTTTAAATTACAAACTATAATATTGACAGTACCTTTATAATATTCTACAAGAGAACTGAAATATGATTTTAGTGTATTACCACAGTTCACACATACATAGAGCAGAAGGTAAATATTACCTCTATTTCCTCAACTGGCAACTTTTTTAGAAATACGTATACATTTAAGAAAGATGCATTTTACAAAACCAGTATTTGATACAACAGAACATGCTGCTGTTACTTTTTTTCAACACCTTTTTAAAACAACAGCTCAATAAAATACCTTATTTCTGTAATAAACATGCAGCATTTATTACCGTCTCCTTTTTGTGGTTTAACAAGGCTGACTTCTTTTCCAAACTGGAAATCTGCATCCTGTAACAGACCGCTTTCTCCTTGCATTTCCTCCTCTATCCCACTCTCAGATGAGTGACCACTCATCAATGTCCCTTCATTCCAGTTTTTATAGTTTTCATCAGAATTTTTTCTTCTCTGTTCCCTATTTCTTCTGCCCAGTGTTGATTCCAGCTCTGCACTTCCATCTGTGCTTGTTCCATTACAGGCTTTAGTTTGAGGAAAATGTTGCGTTACAAATCCCACAAACTTCTTTCCTCTTTTAGCAGCTTCATTAACCTGTATTTACAACAGAAATTTATCTGCAAAGTGATTTTAGAATTGCATGTGACATTTTTTTAAAAAAAAAAAAAAAACCCCAACCTTTTTATATATGTATGTTCTGTTTAACTAAATTGCTGATTTTCAAGGACATAAAGACACAACACTGTAAAGGAGGGTGGCTTGTCTTTGTACGCTGCCCATGTTTCAAAGTAAATGGAAGTCTTCCAGTATGTCCTTGGACTCAGGCTGTATAAGGTGGCCAACACTGGTACTGACTTCGGCGTATACAAATCCTTCACTTAGAACAAATCCAAAGTATTTTACTTGCTGTGTCGTAATAATAAGTAGTATATGGTGCAATAAATAGCATTGGTTTCTCTAAACACGTGATACCAGCCATACTAAAATTACTGACCACTAATACTACAGAAATATCTATTTGTCATATGTCAGGACTCATTATCCCCTGGTTCCCTTAGAGGCTAACTCAGCTTCACTATTACTGAGAATAGTGAAGGAGCAGAGAAAGGAGGGAGCTAGAAGCACATTAAAACCCTTTTTACTCTGCTTTCAGCCAGTGGTGGGTCTTTTTCTCCGCACTGAAGTCTCAAAATACAACTGTAGAATATGTGCCACCTGTGGGACGTGTCTGTTCTCGGAGGGAGGTGGGGGGGGTTTTGCTGGGATAAGGAGTGCTGCCATTTAGGAAGGTGATCCCACTGCCATCTTGTGCTACAAGCTCCCCTGTGCAATAAAGTCTTTCCAGAAAAATACAGAAATCCCAGCCCAGAAAGAAGAAATGGCCTGGGAAGTACTGGATTAGTGAGGGCAGAGAGAAAAGGATCTCTGCCCAGTTAACTCACATAAACAGATCAAGAGAGTGAATAACACTCAAATAGCTGACCGTACTACAATCCCTTTTTAGTACCGTGGTAGACTGAAGTGTTACTATCTACCACCATTATGTATGTACAGCAACGATATGATATGCCAATCACTGTGATTGCATAATCACAGAGCTGCTTCTTCTAAGACAACCAAAGTATTTTAAATGTGACAAGCAACATGCAGAAAAAGAGGCAATATAGCAAACTTTTTCCTGATATGCCACAAAGTCTTGTGGGTTCAGATCTTTTAAATTAAAAAAAAAAAAAAAAAAAAGAAAGCTAATTTTCTACTGGATTACTGGCTTGGTCTTTTTAAAACACTGGGAGCATTTTAAAATTAAATTATTTTCACTTACTACTTCTGTTCCAGATTTGCTTGCAAGACTGAAGCACTGCTAATGTCAAGTGTATTTTTCCTTTAAATGTTTGTCTGGTGTGCTATACAACCAACCTGGCAATGCACACACAGAATAAATGTGTAATGGAATCCCATTTTAAATTTGAAACACCTGAAAATTTCAAAACAAGCCATTCAGAAATTTTAAACAACTCTGATAATTTCAAAGATCATTAAAGATCTCCAATATGCTTTTTCCTCTACTTCTTTCCTTGGCAACTAATGTAAAAGATATCACTCTAACTCTTGTAATAACAATAGTTTCCTGTTTCAGCAAGTCTTCAATTTTGCAGAGGAAGTGAAACACAAAAAGAACTAGAACTAGAGCTTGCATTCCAGTGGAAATTTAGTTTTCTTTAACTATACAATATTTTCAAAAGCTGTGCCAAATGATTTATTTAATACAATTACTGTGTATTTTGTATTTCTGTTAAAGAATGAAAAAAATCTTTCTTAGAAACTGAATATATTCATGTTCATTAGGAATATTTACTTAACCCAGAACAAATAAAACTTCAGGTTGGTTTTTTTTTTAAATGTTGATTCCAGATAAAGCTATCATACAAGCATTTTATAAAGACTGACTGAGAGTTTGGGCCTGATTCTACTTTCAGTGGTGTAAGTGGCCAGTGTCCCAAAGCTTTACAGGGCTCAGTACTAAGTCCTAAATTACAAAAAGCAACTAGTGAAGACAAGTAACTTCTTTCTCATCAAAAGACTTTGTAGCTTCTATAAAATAAGCCAAGGTTAAAACTTGAAACTAAAAAAAAAAAAACATCAGCCACTAAATATAACTTACATGTATGGTAGAAATAAAAATCTCAAGAGAAGTTTGAAAAAACCCTCCATTACCTTTTCTAATAGTTCTTTCACTACCTCATTTGTCAGTGTTTCATACATTAAAGGACATTCCTCAATCACCAGCCTGGGGTGCCTTTGTCCTCTGGGTGCTGCATGCTTCTGGCTAGAACACAGAAAGAAAGCAGTCTTTGTCAGCAGTTTGCTGCTAACTTGGGCAAGTGCTTGCATATAGAATTCTTGTCTTTTGGAATAGTTATGAATGAAATCCTGGCAATGCTTCTTCATACCTTTATTTAGAACTCGGTGGGTTTTGGTATTTTGTATCTTACACAAAGTGGCAGGTACTGTGTATTACAATGCCAAGGTAAGAGTATTAGTACCTAATAGGAATTCCACCTGAAGACTGTTAACAGACCTCTTTTGGAAACTGAGCTTTATTGACAAACAGCTCTGCTTTTGTAATAAACCCAAAGGTCTCCAATAACGCAAAAGTCCCAAATTTAAGCTATAAATTTAGCAAGCACAAAACATATGCAGTTTTGTAGAAAACACTATGAATAGAAATGGTACTTTTACACTGTTAACATGCTGCTATTCAGTTTTTGTAACTAAAGCAGAGTTGCAGCTATTGCATGAAATACAGCGTAGACAAGTACTAAAAATACAATGCAGTTAACAATTACTTTGGTAATGTTTACATGACTCAGATTTGAGAATCCAATAAGCTTTAACTTCCAATTAAAGAACAGTATTCATCATGTTTTATCTGAAGCCAGTTAGGTTATTACTCAGACAACAATATTTGGTGTATATCAATATAATGGCATTTTATTTGATGTTTCCTTCACACAATCTTTTGCTTTAGAATGAAACATCAATGAGACATGCTCAAATATAAAAGGTAACTTTCCACATAGTAGTTGGAGAAGGTCTATTTGCCTGCAGGAAAACCAACATAGGTACGTGGCACCTGCATAGGAAACTGAGAACCTACACCAGTTTCACATAGAGGCTGCAGGGTCTCGTCCTTCACCTATTCAAGGGCCTAAAGGTTCAAACCACAACTTTGTAAGGATCCCACGTCTACAGGGATAAGGTGAATTGTACAAGCTGCGTGCTGGCAGTGTCAGCTCTTAGAAGCCTCAGCTCCAGAATGCAAGTATTCAGCTTTTCTTACTCAAGCATTTGCCCACATGGACAACATTCACCTTGTTTGCAGATGAATTTATAAAGGTAAGTTGTATAAGCAGCAAATATCATGGACAATGCTTCCTTAAGCAAGTCGTTTGGGAAGGTCCCTCAAAGGAACCATGTTTTACAACAGTACTGCTGGAGTGGCAGGGGATATCTTCCAACTCATGCCCTTCTGGTCTTCCAAAAGAAAATGAAAGAACCTTTGTGCATCGCACTAGGACTCAGGAGAGGAGGGGAAGCATGACAGCTCTTAATGCAATAAGAAATCCACTTTTCTAGTTTTCAAAATAAGAACAAAAGGTTTTCTTCTTTGCATTCAAAGGCACTAATGGTAAAATCTCTTTGTACATTTTCTTTATGATCACATGGCAATTACAATGCAGTGAAAACAAGAGTGGTAAGACTATAGAGCTGGAACATAAACACAAACTCTTGACTCTCCCTCAGTGTCAAACCAAGCTTTTGTATGCCCCCAATCACAGAATGATTTTTTCCTTCTTATTAAGAAGGAAAAAATAAACTATTTATCTCTGACAAATAAATTCACACTTCATAGGTCATTTTCCCTGAATAATGCTCTTATGGGAAAAGTGAAAACAAAAGTTTTGAACATGAAGAACAAAATACAGACATGAAAGAATTTAAAGCAGCTTATTACTCTCCTAGTGTTTCATTTAATCTTGTATTTGCTGCAGGTCCTAACACAGATGATACTTTATTAAAAAGATGTATTAAAAATAAAAGAGTAAACTAACAATTTATCTTCCCACAAATTATGATTTGGATTTTTGTTCGGACATTTACTAAGACAACATAAACATTAACCTATTGCATGCTTAGTGATAATTAAAACAACATTACTAACTTGCTCACCTTTCTAGACAAGGAACAGTTATTTGATTCTCTGAGGTGCTCATTTCAAGTTGATAATAAATTATGCATGTTGAGCAATCCACTTACAAATGGCTTAAGTAATGGACCAATATATTAAAATTATTTCACTGTTACCTTAATTTTAATCGTGAAAGTACCACTCGATACATGTGACTTGCAGGGAAATTCCTTCTCTGTCCAATTGGCAGTATAATAGGGTGAACAGCTCGTACAACATATCCTTTGCTGTAATATTCGTCCACCTTAGATGCTATATCCAACACAGAACTGATCTTGATAACTTCTGGATTTGAGGAAGCTAAAAGCAGAAGAGAAGCACATTATACTGTGTATGTCCATATACTTTTTGGGTGAGTTCCTTTTATATAAACCACACAAAATCTAACAAAAAGCTACAGTTCTATTTATACAAGAAAAAGCAGATTCACAGCTGATTCAACAGTATTCAACCAGTTGAAGCACATATTTTTACATGTTAATATGATCTATTTTTAATCTATTTTACAACACTTTGTTGGATCTAGCTTTGCCAAGCTAATTTAAGAGATGCATGAACATCTAAATACACAATAGGTCTGGACTTAACAAAGCAACTATTTTGTCTAGCCAAGGCCTTAAACTTATTGAAGAAGTATCCTTCAACCCTAGTTGTGAGGTAAATTCCCATACAATGAATTTAAGCCTAGAACAATTGCTTTGTTTTTCTTAAATACTTTTTTTTGATCCCTCGGAAGTGATCTGTGGACTGCAGGTTGAAATTTTAACATAGTCCCAATTCCTTTTTCCAGTAGACCTAAGTACATGTCATAGAATGATAGAATGCTTTGGGTTGGAAGGGACCTTGAGATGTCACCTAAGTAAGCTATGTGGTGTCACTAATTTCTAAGGATGATCCCTCTTGAGTGGGTGCAAGCATTTCCAATCAATAGACAACAGCTAGGTGCTACACAACTATTGGGAGAAATCTTGGAGAACCTTTATTGAATGGTCTGATCCACAGCTTTTGCACAGAGAAAAGGAAGATTCCACACTGGTAATAGATTCTATATTCTGCCACAGTAAGTCTGATAGTCAGTATTTCCCGTTCCCCTCAACTCCAACTGGAACTGTAGACACTCTCAGACCCTCCACAAAGCAGGAAATCAATACACATATACAAACAGTAACTGATGAGTAGTTTTGCCAGCATGTATTTGCCATCATCAAAATTTTCATCCTCTGCAGATATGAACTCTTATGACAAGACAGCTTGGCTTGGAATTAGATGGTCTTTATCAGTGACCCTTACTGCAAGTGACGTATTTTTTTGTGTTCCGATGGGTTCCTTTCTTTGCAAGACTTTGAGTGCATTAAGACCAGCATTCAACTGCATTAAAGGATGCCTCAGTTGGAATTAAGTGACCTCACAACACTTTGAGATACAAACATTTTAACATGCTGCTTTAAACGTTCCCTTTCAAACCATACAATAAACTGAAAACAATTAAATACACTAATTCTCCTCTGATTCTGTAATTTAAAAAAAAACACAGAAAACAGATACATGCAGTGACATAAATCTCACCTGCCACTTTGTAAATGTATTAGAGTTAATTTCATGTTCTTACATCCTCTTATCTACCTGCCCTATATTGTAGGTGGGCAGTAGCAAGGAATTTACGGACTTTATCACAGCAAGTCACAAAGTCTACCTATCCTACTGGTTTAAAGTATCATAAACCAGATATATGAATCTTCAGTTTGCCTAAATCTTTTATTCTAATAAACTGAATTAGAATTCTGTTGGTTCATGAGTGGTGTGTTCTGTAAAACATCAATCTCTATACTGCTTTCCCACTATAAAATGGGGATAATACTGATATATACACATTATGGAGGACTTTTTTTTTTAAAAAGAAAAACCAAAAACAAAAACACAAACCACCAAACCAGAAACTCTTGTTTTACAACACTCAAATGCTTTTAAATACCAACTTTCACTAAAGGGAAAAAGGAATGGAAGCCTACTCTGCTTGTCACTAAGAGCCTTAACAGCTCAGAAAAGCTGTCAAGAGAAACAAAAGTAACATGTACCATGGGAAATGCACACTACCAAAAAGTATCACTAACATATACATTGACAGTTTATTGCTGAAAACTAGCAAACAACCTATTAGTGTAAACTCTGCCATTCTCAGTCACAGGGACAGGGCTGTCATTTTCTTGCGCTACCTTGCCTTTTTTTTTTTTAAGCAGGCAGTACATTACAGCCCTCCTGTTCATAGGTGGATGATATTTTGCCCTTAGTAACACCTCCATCCCATGATCCCACTCATAGTAAATCCAGGAGACGTTAAATACGTATTGAAGAACTAACTGCTCTACAGCCCACAAGCCAAAAA